GCGTCTGTCGTTGATAATTTCGCAATTCGTTTTCGTGGCAAGATTGCTATTGAGACACCCGGCACTTATACTTTTGCCCTGAACTCCGATGATGGCTCGAAACTATACATCAATCGAAATCTGGTCGTCGATAATGACGGGATTCATCCGCCGCGGTATGTTCAGGGGAACCTAGAGCTCGCAGCGGGAATGCATCATATTGAAATTCACTATTTCCAAGGGCAGCCCTACCAGATTGCCCTGCAATGGTTCTATCAACCACCGAATGGTCAAGAACAGATTGTTCCACCCGAAATAATTTATCTCCCTGAGCCATCCCGCGCTCCGGATGCATTGGTGGGACTACAGAATCGGCTGAAAAAGATCCGGGATAAGGAAGTGCAATAGCCGTGAGTGCAGCGTAAAATCAAGAGAAATGGAATTGTTGCGCGGCTTCTCACGAATTATGTGATAGCAGATATAAATCGCACAATTCCCCACAACTTACCTGATAGTGCCAACAGGAAATTTTAGATGAAACACTTCATGCTTCTCTTCCTCTCACTCCTCATACTTAGTAGAGCGGCGAACGCACAACCACAAAGTGGTCGTGTTCCTTTCGATTATCCCGATGAGCCTTTTGTCGAGTTTCGATTTGATTTAGACCGCAGTACGATCGCGCTAGTTATGGAAAACATGAGCGCCGATACTGCCTCGCAATTTAGCACGCTCGAGCACCTGCACCTCCGCGCCTACAAGGCTCGTCATTTTGACAAGATGCTTGATCATTACGGGACGAACTTGAAAATACGTGGGTGGAGTGCGTTAGAAAAAAGCGCGAACTGTCACCTATATACCCTCACGCAAAGCGACACCGTTATCAGTATCTTTGTAATTGTCAAAAGCGAAAAGACCGTGTATCAGCACAGTGGAGACACGGGCAGAAAGGTGCTGTATCTGATAAATATAGACGGTCGGCTCGCGCCAAAACAGGTGAGCGAACTCGTGGGCAATTTGAATCAAGTTGGCATTGATATACCTGAACTGAGCAAATTCGGTGCACAGCGTAATACCACATCTGCTTCAACCTTGCTTCGGATGCCCGAAGGCGACCCGATTCATGAGGTGCAAATTCAAGCCAATCAGACAACCATTGAACCGCAAATTAGAACAGTGCTTGAGGAAGGTCCAGATGAAATCATCGCGGCTATGGCAACCTTGCGTAGCAAACTCCCGGATATTCAGACCCTAACAGTCCGGATTGATGCAGAAGGTGGCAAACGCGTCGCAACAATTATCGCTACAGCGGAACCGGATACGGGAAGTTCATCAACCACATTAATGACGCTCCCCGATGAAATCACACAGGAACAAGCCACCCCAACACGGTTTCGGACTTCTGAGGGTGCCCCGATTCACGAAGTTCGGATTCAAGGCAATCAGAAAATCACCAATGCAGAGATTCAAACTGCTCTTGAAAACGAACCTGAGGATATCGTAAAAGCGATTGCGAGCTTACCCTTGCCGGATTTGAATCGAATTGTTGTAGAAATTGAGGGTGACGATACGAGACGCGTCGCAACAATTATCGTCATAGCACAGCCGGATACAACGCGTTTGCTAACCTCTTCACCTACGGGGCTTTGGACTGCCGCGAGAGATCCAATTCACGAAGTCCGGATTCAAGGAAATCAGAAAATCGGTGAAGCGGAGATTCAAGCCGTTCTTGAAAACGGACCTGACGAAGTCGAAAAAGCGATTGATAATTTGAAAGACGCCCTACCCTATTTTAGTCGAGTCTCCCTACAGTTTGAAAATGACGGCACAAGGCGCATTGCAATAATTACCGTTGTGGAAAGAAGGCTCTCCTCAGACTATTATTTCCATGCGTTTCCGCTCATTCAATTTAATCGTGTTACCGGTTGGCTGCTTGGTGCTCACCTTGAAGTGGGAAAACGGAGGCAGATAGGACCACTCTGGATGGAGAACATCCCCAGTTCGGTTAGGGCCTATCTACCGAAACTTTTTGGCGAGGTGGCTATGGGTTTGGAAATCAGCATATTAATTACCGGGTGGGAGGGGATATGATTTGGAGTCAGTCCGACGTATCGAGTCTGGGTGTCTCCGCTCAAATCCATCGCGCCACAACTGCCATTGCTCCTGAACTCTTCCCACACTATGACAGTGTGTCAGATGCTTTTTGGGCACTCGGATTTCATAACTACTATTTGAGCCAAGGTGTCGAGACATCGGTTCGATGGGAACCGGTGGTGCCAACACATTCGCTCAAATTGACGATGCGTGCCGAGTCGCATGAGAGTCTACAAAAGACTACAGATTGGCAATCGGGAAACTGGGGTTCAGAATCGGAGGCGGAAGAAAATCCACCGATAACCCCGGCCAGTTGCGGAGTGTCACATTGAGATACGATTTAAATACCCGGCAAAACAGTAACGTCGGCTGGCACAATACCCTGCTCGTTGAACATAGTAACCCTGCTGTCGGTTCCGATTTTGATTTTACACGATTTCAGTTACAACTGCGATATGCTGCCTCAAGAGGGTGAAGATCTGATCCGCACACGGTTGGTGTTGGGCACTGCCACAAGTGCACTGCCGATTCAACGCCAATTTATTATTGGGGGGAGAGGAACGCTTAGCGGATATCCACTGTATGCGTTTGCAGGTGATCACGTCTCCCTACTCAATTTGGAATATTTCTACCGCCTGCCCAATCCATACGGCTGGAAGTGGTTCAACAACATGAAAACGTTTGTCATATTGTTTCTGATCAAGGACAAGTCTGGAACATGTCTGACAAACCGTACCGCTTTGACCCGAAGACAAGTGTCGGCATGGGATTACAGTTAGGGCAGGAATCTCCTCTCAGATTTAACTTGTCCAAACCCTTGGAATCTGAGCGGAGGGTTCAATTCGATTTGATGTGGTATTCTAGTTTTTAATGAGGCAATTGAGTGCAGCGATATACAAACCCAAGTTGTTAGTTATGTGCGGCGCGATAAAAGTCAGTCCCTTATACCCGTAGGTCGGGCATCTTGCCCAATCTCCAAAGCCCCAGTTGCTTTGAATCCCGATCTTATCGGGGCGGGGTGTATATAGCAATCCTCGACCTACAGGCTGTCTAGCAACTTGCGACATACAAACATCTGAAAAGGAATCATCAACTATGTCTGAAATCAAACTCCGTCCCGCCCACACGGATACAATCGCTGCTGCTCGCGATTATCGCCCAGCACGTTGAACCCACCCCTCTGAAGAAAGAGAAAGCCTTCAGCGCATCCCTACACGCGGATGTATTTGTCAAGTATGAATTCCTGAGTCCCGTCAAATCCTTCAAGATCCGGGGGGCGTTGAATCTTGCCCATGCACTTGCGAACAGTAAAAGCGTATCAAGAGTCATTACCGTTTCTACAGGGAATCACGGTGCTGCTATGGCGTTCGCCTGTCAGGAATACAACCTTCCACTCACCGTTGGCGTACCCGTCAATTGTGATCAGAGCAAACTCGAATTGATCCGTCAGTTTGGCGGGGAGTTAGAAATGATTGGTCGAGATTTGGACGAAACCAAAGAGTTACTGCAACAACGTCCACTCTCACCGGATACGGTCTTTATTGAGGATGGCTCCTGCCCCGAAATCGTCGCCGGTACTTCCACAATCGGGTCGGAAATTGTTCAGGAACTCCCTAACGTAGAGGTTGTTATTGTACCGGTTGGGAATGGCGCATTAATCGGCGGTATCGGGACAGCACTCAAAGAGTTCAATCCATCAATCCGGGTGATTGGTGTCCAGTCCGATTTGGCACCCTGTATGACATTGTCGTTTGAGGCGGGGCACGCTGTGGACACGGAAAGCTGCGATACTTTTGCCAGCGGCATGGCAGTACGGGTATCAATTCCAGAGGCGGTCGATCTGATGCTAGCGGTTGTCGATGAGATGTGGGCGGTTTCTGAGACCGATTTGAAAGAGGCGATGGGCGCCTTCTATAATCATACCGGACACCTGCCGGAAGGCGCCGGGGTCGCCCCCTTAGCCGCAGCATTGAAGATGCGTACCGCGCTAGAAAATAAGACGGTTTGTCTAATCGCATCAGGTACGAATGTGGATGACACATTGCGGCAGGAAATTAAAGAAAAATTTGTGTAAACTGTTGTATAATGTATAATATAACCCAAGTTGCTAGTAGTAGGTATATTGTGCTTTGAATCCCGATTTTATCGGGGCTCCGTATGCCATAACCCCCATTCCACGGGGAAAACGGGGATTTTAAGGTATAGGCATCGCCGATGCCGTAACCGTTGTGCAAATTACGGCATGTTTCTTAATCCCGATGTATCGGGGGCGGAGCGTACCTGCCGCTCTACATTGCGAATCCAAGTTGCTCGCGAGTAAAGCTACCCAAGTTATTTATTTTAACGCAAGTTGCTAGTGTTGAAAATCCATCAGTTTGCTGTTAAAGCTGAAGGACTCTACTTTCGCTCCAGAGGAGCGATATGTCTATAGAACGGCGATAAGTTCAATCCCTGCGCTCCAGAGGAGCGCAATGTGTATAGAAATACCGAATACGCACATATCAAGCCCCAGCGGGGCGACATGTGTATCGCATTGGGGTAAAGCACAATAAAGTCAGAGAAGTACCACTCTCGCACAGTAATCCTTCTAGCAGTTGTCGAGTATAGAAACTCGACCTACAAGCTATCTAGCAACCTGCGTTAGAATATATAATTATTCTGAATAACAATCTAACCCTGCGAATGTTCAGCACTTTCACAGGGGTACAAAAGGAGAAATATCATCATGCCAGATTTCAAAGATAAAATCGTAATTGTCACCGGCGGTGCCAGAGGCATCGGCGGCGGTATCAGCCGGGCTTTTGCCGAAGAAGGTGCTAGTGTCCTCTGCGCAGATCTGGACGAAGATTCAGGCGCACAACTCGTCGAAGAATCCGCAAGCATGGACGGAACTGTTCGTTTCCTAAAGGCAGATGTTGCCCATAGCAGCGAATGCCAAGGGTTGTCGAGACAGCGGTGTCAGAATGGGGCGGAGTGGATATCCTCTGCAACAACGTCGGCATCCAACCTGCGAATAGCTACCTACCCGCCCACGAATTTCCGGAGGAGATGTGGGATCGCATCATTGATGTCAATCTCAAGAGTTTCTTCCTCATGACCAAATACTGTGTGCCCGAGATGAAAAAGCGCGGGGGCGGTGCTATTATTAACACTGCCAGTGTCCAGGGGCTACAGTCGATGCAGGCGTGTCTGCCTATGCAGCCAGTAAGGGCGGTGCCCTCTCCCTGACCCGTCAGCTCGCTCTGGAGTATCGCCGAAGACAATATTCGGGTGCTAGCGGTCAATCCCGGAACAATCGACACGCCATTGGTGGCGGAGGCCGTGGACTTCATGGGAGGCGACTTGGAGAGTCTCAAGAAGCTATGGGGTAAAAGCGCATCCGATGGGGCGGATCGGTCAACCCAGAGAAATTGCCAACGTCGTGCTGTTCCTCGCTAGTGACAAAGCATCCTTCATGACCGGCGAATACGTTTGTGTTGACGGTGGGATGATGGCAAAGGGTGCTTGGGCGGATAGCGAGTAAGGGTGAACGTGGGGTGAGGAGACGCGACTATGAATAGCTCCCAGATATTGACCGACGGGGTTTCCGATGAGCGCGCTTGGCGGGCGAGTAGCATTGATGATATCACAGCTTGGTACTACCCATTATCCGAGGATTGTCTCTCCAGCTTCACGTGGGTTATCCGTGACGCACAGCGTAATTCCCGACCGATTACAGAAATTTCTCATCCGGATAGATCATCCAATGGCTGCGAAGGGTGCCTTCAACCGGCACTTGATGCCCTCAATTCAGGACGTGGTTTTGCTATCGTCGAACGGGTGCCAATCGAACAGTATCAGGTTGAAGAATCGCTGTCAATGTACTGGATGATTGGTCAGTTCCTCGGCATCCCCATGGAGCAGAATATTGAAGGAACGCTGTTATACGATGTGCGAGATACGGGCAAAAATGTGGCGCAGGGAGCACGGTTTTCAGTGACCAATGCCGAGAGTTCGTTTCATAACGACAATTCCTTCGGCGAACTGCTGCCCGACCTTGTGGGGCTGCTCTGCCTGCACACGGCAAAATCTGGCGGACAAAGTCAACTTATCAGCGGTTACGCCCTCCACAATGAACTGCTGGAGAATCACCCCGATGTCCTCAAAACCCTCTATCAACTGTTCTGTTTTGATCGCCGGGGACAGTTCAAAGCCGGGGAATCCCCGACATCTCAATTCCCGATCTTCCAGTGGAGTAGGGGGTGAACTGACGCTCCGATACCTGCACTACTACATTCAGGTCGGGTCACGAACATGCTGGGCAAAAGGCTGACCACAGATCAGAAAAAGGCACTAGAAGTTGTGGAAGAGTTGCTGTGTCGCACAGATTTCAGAGTGGAGTTCAACCTACAACCCGGACAGGTGCTGTTTACCAATAACCGCTGGATCCTGCACAACCGCACCGCATTTGAGGACTATCCCGATCCAGAACATCGGCGACATTATGTGAGACTCTGGTTACGCCGGTAGGACTAAATGATTTAGAACTTTGTTTTCATCTTTATCAGCTTTGAGAATCTTGCGAAGATTTGAATTTTTGCAAGGTTTTCCGGTGATGTAGAAAGGAAAAAGGTATGATTCGTGTTATTGTTAATGGTGCCTGTGGGCGCATGGGTAAGATGATTACGCAAGGCGTTTCAGAACAGGAAGATATGCAGATTGTCGGTGCTATCGAATTCTCTGAGCATCCGCAACTTGGGCAGGATGTAGGAGAAGTAGCCGGAATTGGGACAATCGGTGTGCCTGTTACCAGTGATCTGCCTGCAATTCTGGATGACGGAGACGTTGTGATTGAGTTCACATCGCCAAGTGCAACCATTGAGCATCTCCAGAACGTTGTAGACGCCGGAAAGCGGATGGTCATCGCAACAACAGGATATGATGAAGAGGAATTAGCACAGGTGCACGCACTCGCACCTCAAATCCCGTGCGTGATGGCATCCAACATGAGCGTCGGCATCAATGTTATGTTGCAAGCGATTCAACTCGTTGCAAATGTGCTCGGGGACGACTATGACGTGGAGGTCATTGAAGCACATCATAATCAAAAAGTCGATTCACCGAGTGGGACCGCCCTACGGATGGCTGAGGTTCTCGCTCAAACATTGGACAGAAATCTTTCAGAAGTCGGCGTGTACGGTAGGCACGGCATCGTCGGAAAGCGCACCAAGAAGGAGATCGGTATACACGCCATTCGAGGAGGAGACCTTGCCGGCGATCACACAGTTTTATTTGTCGGTACGGGTGATCGTCTTGAGATAACACATCGCGGTCAAAACCGTGAACCGCTTGCGCGGGGAGCGATTCGTGCAGCACGGTGGGTGATGGGTGCACCGAAAGGCTTGCATGACATCGCAGAAGTCCTGTTCTAACCTAAGTTGCTAGTTGATAAACCAAGCGTCAGAAGCCGATGCAAGAGTCGGGAATTGGAATTCCCTCCTACACCAAAACATACACGGTTTCTAGTGGGGATGGGTTTCCTAACCTGTCAAGCGATCTCCGAATCGCGACTTGCGCTATAATACCTTTCGCTCCAGAGGAGCGATATGTCTATAGAACGGTGATAGGGGGAACCCCTGCGCTCCAGAGAAGCGCAATGTGTATAGCAAGAGCGAATCATCACACCCCAAAGCCCCAGCGGGGCGACATGTGTGTAGTATTATCAGGCAACTAGCAACTTGCGTTATTTTTAGTGGATGTTGAGTATGGAAACTCGACTTGAGTTATTCTAAGGTGTGAAACGAGATTGATTAATGAGGAGTTTCTTGGCGGTCGGTAGCGAATGGCGAATCATTTCACTTACGCATTTGTCCGTCCCGGATGTTGGCAATTTCCTGCATAATCTGCTCACCCATCCGCCGGTATAGCTCGCGTTTGTCCTCAATTTGTCGCGCCTCTGTGAAATCGATGGGGGTGCCAAAGGTTACGGTCAGTTGAGCAGGATGAATCCATTTCGCATTACGGGGGAGTATCGTTCCTTTGAGATAAGCGGGAATAGCGGGTACCCCTGCGTTATGAGCGATGAAACTGACACCCCCATGGGGTTTGCCCAGCGTACCATCGACACTGCGTGTGCCTTCGGGAAAGATGAGGACTACATTTCCTGATTTCAGCAGGGAGATGGTGCGTCGGAGCGCAGCGCGATCTGCCGTGCCGCGTTTTACTGGGTACGCATTGTGTGCAGCGATCAGAGGAGCCTATCACCGGCATATCAAAAGAATCATGCCTTGCCATAAAGTGCAACTCTCGATTCGCCGTGGCGCCAACGATGAAGGGGTCGAAATAGCTCACATGGTTGCATAAAATTAAGGTGCCACCGTGTCGTGGAATATTCTCATAGCCATGAGATTCCAATTTACCGAAAAGATTAAAGACAAAATTGGTAATTCGGTGTGACCAGCGATATGGGAGCCGATCTGTCCAGAATCCGAAATTGGTACGTCGCATTAGCCTACCTCTACTCGGTTTAGAACGAAGTCCACAGCTTGGTTGATGGTCATGCTAGTTGTATCTATGACAATTGCATCTTCGGCGGTGCGCAACGGACTATGCTCACGAGATTCGTCCATCTGATCTCGGTCGCGAATTTCTTTTTCGACCTGTTCTAAGGTTGTCTCAATACCCCTTGTTTTTTGTTCTGCAAAACGGCGTTTCGCACGCTCTTCAACGGAGGCGTTGATGTAAAACTTCAGGTCCGCGTCCGGGAACACAACCGTCGTTACGTCACGTCCTTCAACGATGATGCCGCCTTTTTCACCAATCCGGCGTTGTTGTTTCACCATCTCATGCCGTACTTCAGGGGTTTTTGCGATATCGACAATGGCACGGTCAATTTCTGGGGTGCGAAGGGAGTCCGACACATCTTCTCCGTTCAACAGGGTAGTCTTACCGTTGTCTAAGAAATCAATCCGGCAACTCTTTGCCAATTTGGTTAACATAGGCACATTCGTCGAATCTCCCCCTTCTCGGATGGATAAGAGCGTCATCGCACGATACATCGAACCTGAATTCAGATAAAGATAGTCCAACTTTTCGGCGAGACGTTGGGCAATCGTGCTTTTTCCTGAGCCAGCGGGACCATCCATTGCAATCGTTAGCCGTTCCTTCATCATTCCTCCAATGTATCCCTTAACATCTTTGCATGCGCCAAGAGGCGTTCAATTTCAACATCGTCTCGGTTTTCCAGTAAGGTTTTGAATTGAGCGAGGCTTTCGATTGTCGAATCAATCATCGGTAGCAGTGAGCGGGCATTTTGTATGAAGATTGCCCTGCCAAAGCTGTGGAGAACCCGCAGCAATGCGGGTTGTATCGCGGAAACCGGTTGCAGCGAAATCGAGCGCATTTGCTGTGTCATTACCGATGTCTCCCACTGTATTTGTCAAGATGGAAGCAATGAGGTGTGGTAGATGACTTGCGCCCGCGATGAGTAAGTCGTGTTCGGTGGGAGAGAGGTGGCAGACCTGTGTATCAACAGATTGCCAAAGGTCTGTGACAAGTTTCAATGCCTGCGGGTGGGTATTGTCCGTCGGGGTCACAATACATTTTGCACCATCGAATAGGTCTGCACGTGCCGCTGCAACGCTTGTCTTTTCGGAACCCGCCATCGGGTGTGATCCAACAAAGTGTAGGTTAGAAACGGCTAAGAAACTCTCGATTTCCTCAATGATTTGACCTTTAATACTACCAACATCTGTGATCAATAAAGGTCGGGTGTCAGATGTCCGAATTTCGGCGATACGTTGCACCATTTCAGAGATGAGATCTACCGGTGTTCCAATAACCACTAGGTCCGCGTCGTGAATTCCAGTGTGAAAATCGGTGGTCGCATTGTCAACCGCACCGCGTTCGAGCGCGATGTCGAGCGTCTGCATCCGCCTACCGAGCCCGGTGATTTCTCCGCGGAAACCCTTGGCTTTCAACGCCAAGCCGAGAGAGCCACCGATTAAACCGACACCTAAAATGGTTATGTTCCTAATCTGACTAAAGTCTGCAAACATATTTTCCCATGCTCGTTCTCCATGATGTGCTGCGGAGATTTTATAAATTACTAGCGTTTTTGTCAAGTGCTTTTTCAATATGACATAGAGGCATTTAATTCTCCTGTAGGAGGGATCTCCGAATCCCGACTCAGACAGAAACAAACGAAAACTAAATAACTCTACAATATGAAACCCGATTTGCTAGATCAACAATATAGTCTTAGGAGTTACGCACTTCAGCCCCGATTTTATCGGGATTCAAAGCAATTTGTAGTAGCGCAATTCATTGCTTTCTCCCCTCCCTCCCCCTGCTTGCGGGGGGATAAAGGGGGGTAGGGGAGTTAGAGGGGGTATGGTCGATAAATCGCCTCCGTTCCGAGAGTTCGAGACTTACTACAAACCACTGTAGTTGCCCGATTCATCGGACGTCGTGAGTCGTATTGTCCGGTAATGAGTCACTGAACTACAAGGGGTTGAACGTTCAACTGCGTAAGTCCTAATAGTCTATTGAAATCACGCAATTTTACGCGTTTTTTTATAAGAAGGAGGTTCCTAAAAGGACATTGAAAAACCTAGAATTCAAAGCAAATTGTGATTCACTCGATGTACTCCGCGGACATCTTATCAATCTCCAAGCGGAACATCGTCGCACAATGAAACAACTTGACACCTATTTTAACATTCCCCAAGGCAGGTTGAAGCTGCGAGAAATCAATACCGATGAAGCGCAACTCATCTACTATGAACGTTCCGATCGTGCAGAATCACGTTATAGTAATTATCAGGTATGCGATATCTCTGAACCGACGGCTTTCATGCAGATCGCGACAATGGCTTGGGGGGTGAAAGGTGTTGTTGAGAAGCAGCGGGAGTTGTGGATATTTGGCGACACGCGCATCCATCTGGATGAGGTAAGAGATCTCGGTCAGTTTGTTGAATTAGAAACAGTGATTCGCAACCAAACGGAAGAGGAAGCACAGGCGGAACACCAGCTTGTGAAGGACGCGCTTGGAATTAAGGAAGAAGATTTAGTTTCCGTATCGTATAGCGATCTAGTTTGAAAATCGCTGATATATACCTAACGCAAGTTGCTAGGGGCATTTAGTTTTTCCGTTTTGGCTCATGCCTCGCTGTTCGTAGTAGCACCACGTTCTACCCGACCCTGTAGGCGGGGCATCTTGCCCCGCTCGAAGAATTAAATGACCCTAGCAACTTAGGTTACGTAATAGTCTTGACTATACCGGTATTGAATTGGGCTCGTAGTTTTCACGTTTCACGCTCTTTGCGTTTTGTACTTTCTTTTGACACGAGACTGATATATACCGAGACAGAAATTGATGCACACGCTATAGGGTGTTGCCTATTAAAGAACTAAATTGGAGGACAACGTGATTGATTGGAACGAATGGCGAAAACAATTTCCAGTAACAGAGAGATACATCTACCTGAACCATGCAGGAGTTGCTCCGCTCCCGTTGTGTGTCCATCACGCGATGGAGCGTTTTTTGGACGATGCGACCTATAACGGCGCGGTCAATTCCAAACGTTGGGATGCTACAGCAGAAGCGTGTCGCGCAAACGCTGCCAAACTGATTAACAGTGATGTTGACGAGATAGCTTTTATGAAAACACCTCACAAGGCATCATCATCGCTGCAAACGGGATTGATTGGCGTGAGGGCGACAACGTCGTGACAACGGCTGTGGAATTTCCTGCGAATGTTTATCCTTGGTTGAGCCTGAAGCGTCTCGGTGTGGAAACGCGAATGGCACCGGAGCGAGATCGGCGCATTCACATTGAGGATATTGAGGCGGCAATTGACGAGCGGACGCGGTGTGTGACGATCAGCCACGTCGAGTTTGCATCAGGCTTTCGGAACGACATCGCGGCGATCGGTGACATCTGCCGAGAAAGAGAATTTGGTTTGTGGTGGACGCTATACAGAGCGTGGGCGCGATTGACTTGGACGTGAAGGCTTGCAAGGTTGATATTCTTGCCGCCGACGGTCATAAGTGGCTGCTCGCACCTGAAGGCGCGGCAATCTTCTACTGTGCAAAGGAGAAACAGGATGCACTGATCAACACAAACGTCGGTTGGGCGGGTGTCGTCAATCCAAGGGATTTTCTGAACTATGATTTCACCCCTCAACCGGCTGCTACGCGCTTTGAGGAGGGATCGTATAACAGCGTTGGCTTGTATGGACTCGGTGCAGCAATCGAACTGCTGCTAGAAATTGGGATCCCGAATATTGAGCAGCGAATATTGGACCTGACAGATCGCCTCATCGAAGGGATCCACTCAAAGAACTACCGGCTACTGACACCAACAGGAGAATCCGAGCGTTCCGGTATCGTAGTGTTTGAAAGTGACCGATATACATCAGCCGATCTGGTTGAACGGCTCAGGCGAGAAAACGTCATCGGGGCGGATCGGGGCGGCGTCCGCCTATCGCCACATTTCTATAACTCGGAGGCGGAGATAGATCAGGTCTTGGAATTGCTTCCATAACCACGAAGTGTCTCCCTATCGGCTGGTGGGGACATTTGCTCCTGTAGGTCGAAGACCCTCGGAACGGAGAGGGATCTCCGAATCCCGACTTCCTACTCAGACAGGGAAAAACCGAAAACTAAATAGCCTTAATCAGGCAGAGATTTCCGTTGCACAAGGATAGCGATTGGCGTATAATAGCTGCATTAGAAATTTACGAGGCAATCGGAGAAAACTTTATGTACATTCAGGATCTACTCAGTTGGGAACAGTTTAACGATGAGAATCTGAGTTTTTTTAACGCCATTGGAATCGATCGCCTTTGCCTTGATATTCGCGGTATGCACCGCGTTGACCCCTCACTGGACCTGCGAGATGGGGTAGACAGGACAGATTTCTTTGAAGCGGCGAAGGCGAAGACAGAGGCCCACGGACTAGAGCTATACAGCATTTTTATGGCGGGCTGGGATGAAATTGGGTTGGGGCTGCCGGATCGGGATGAGAAAATCGAGGCGTGGTGTACAATGCTTCGGGGCATCAGCGCGGCTGGTATCCCGGCGCTAGGATACAATTTCAAACCGATGGGGAATTTCCGCACAACATCCGCCAAAGGTAGAGGGGGCACCTCCTACAGCACCTTTGATTACGATGAGTTTGCACAGGATCGCCCCAAACCACACGACCCACCGGTCTCGGAGGAGGAGATGTGGGAGCATATAACGCACTTCCTCGAAGGGGTGATTCCGATGGCTGACAAAGTCGGAGTCCGGATGGCACTGCACCCGGATGATCCGCCGATCCCTGAACCGTTGGGGGGCGTAGCGCAGATTGCATCAACTCTTGACCAGTACCGGCGGATTTTCGACATCGTTCCATCCGACTCCAACGGAATGCTGTTCTGTCAGGGCTGCGTCACTGAGATGGGGGTAAATGTGTATGAAGCGATTCGGGAGATGGCTACTAAAAACAAGATCGTCTTCGTTCACTTCCGTAATGTCCGCGGATGCCTGCCAAGTTTCCAAGAGGTTTTTCTTGATGAAGGCGATATAGACATGCACCGAGCGATGGCGATCTATCGAGATGCAGGCTTTAACGGTCCCTTTATGATGGATCACACGCCGGGATTTCCGCAGACAGACGCGGGCAGAGCAGGACAGGCATACGCAGTCGGATATATTCGGGGGTGATCCAGTCAGTATATCGGTAAAAATGCCGAGCGCGAGGAGACGGCTATGCCCATACATTCCCCTCACACACGAACAAACTTATGCAGCAGATTCTCAACGCCCACTTCACCGATATATATGTCCCCGTGCCGGTCTACCCAAATGCCGTGGGCACCGTGTGCCATATCGTCGGGTCCGCCCAACACGTTCCAGCAGGTAAGCAGCTTTCCGTCTCGGTCAAAGATGCTGACACCACCGCCCTCGGCGATGTAAACGGTATCGTCTGCGTCAATGTATAATCCGCAAGGACCAAGGCGCCCTGGCCACTCAGAGAGGAAACCTCCGTCAGGGTCAAAAATTTGGATGCGATTATTCGTCTCTCTGTCAGCGACCAACACCCTGTCTTCTCGGTCCGTGAAAACATTATGAGGAAGGGTGAACTGCCCCGGTGCTGCTCCCTCTTTGCCCCAAGTGTTTAGCAGGGTTCCATCGGGTGAGAACTGATGTATCTGATGCTGACCGTAACCGTCCGAAACGTAAATATCACCCGATCGGGAGACGACTGCACGAGTCGGCATGTTGAATGGCTCGCCGGGGGCTCCTGCCTTATTGGGTGTCCCAAGCGTTTGTAGTACCTGACCCTCTGTGGTGCAGATACGCACTGTGTGATCGCCACAGTCGGCGATGTATAGGCGATCTTCTGAATCAATAAAAATATCGTGAGGCAGACTGAGGAGGTCCTCACCCCATGATGAGAGAAAGCGACCATCTCGGTCATAGACCACGATGGCTGCGTTCGGCTCGCGGTCCACAACATAGACCTTGTCCTGCGAATCCACAGCAACACCCGAAGCGATGCCGAGTGTGCGACCATCGGACCCCTGTCCCCAACCTTTAACGACTTGGTAACAATATTCACCACTTCCCAATATCATAACTAACACCTCCGGCTTTAATTTGTGGATACTGAATTTCCAAACTGAAAGGATATTCGTTTCATCTAAAGCAGATATTATAGCATACTTGTCCAAATACCCCGGATCTAAAAAAACAATTGCTTCATCGGGGAGCGAAACCTCTTAGGACTGCCCAAATGAAAATACAGGAGATGTTTGAACTTCATGATCGTGTTGCCATCATTACTGGCGGTGCAACGCATTTAGGACGCGCAATGGCGACCGCACTCGGCGAACTGGGGGCTGCGACAGTTATTGCTAGCCGCCGCAAAGCCTTATGTGAACAGGTTGCAGCGGAGTTACAAGAAGCTGGCATCAGATGCGTCGGACTTGGCTGCGACGTCACTGACGAAGCACAGGTCAACGCGCTTGTGGAAGATGTGGTCAAAATGCACGGGCGGTTGGACATAATGGTGTGCAACGCCGGTGGTGCTGCGACAACGAGCTATATTCCCAACGCTTCGATTGACGAATTCACCCGCACATGGGAGATGAATGTCAAAAGTACCTATATCTGTGCACAAGCCGCAGCCCGCGTGATGATTCCTCAACGCAGCGGTACAATCATCACCCTCGGATCCATACACGGTTTTCTGAGTGCCGATAAACGTCTCTACGAAGGGTTGGATTTCAATCGTTCGGGTCCTCCCTATCAGGCAGCGAAGGGCGGCATAGTGAACCTGACGCGGGCACTCGCAGTTGAGTTGGGTGACTATAATATCACCGTCAACTGTATCAGTCCAGGACAGATTCCAAAATCGACGACAGATCCGGAACTGGCAGAGCGGTGTCGCCTGAGCAACCCACTTGAACGCACAGGGGTTGCTGATGACATCAAAGGGTCCGTCGCCCTGCTCGCCTCACGTGCCGGCAACTGGATCACCGGACATAACCTCGTGGTGGATGGCTGCTGGAGCCTCTGGTGAACCGCAAAGAGCGTGAAACGTGACAACCATTTGTTCATTGGTGCAGTCGGGCTATAAACGCATAGAGAAACCGAGTTTTTTCCCCGGTCACGGGGTCCTCTCGGACTTGAAAACTCGGTTTCTGTTGTACGATTTCTTAAAATGAGCAAAGATAAAATGAGCGACATCCGACGAAATACCCACGACTACAAAAACGAAAGAGGTATAATATGAAAAGACTCCCCCTTGGTCCACTTTACTATGAGTTCAGTCGGCATAACGAGCCGCGCTTAAGGATCACGCCGGGCGAAACCGTGTTGGTGGAGGCAGAGGACGCCTTTTCGGGTCAGATCCGCACCAACACCGATCGGCGAGATAAGACCAAGAAACCTTACGGCAACCCACAAACAGGTCCAATCTGGATTGAGGGTGCTGAACCGGGAGACGCGCTGGCAGTTAAAATTGAGGAAATTCGACCGAGTCTCGGTCAATGTGCGACCCGAACCTCCGATCCCCGACAGCTTGCCGAATGGTTGGGCGACGACTGTCCGCATGGCGTGCATGTCTGTCCTATCCGCGACGGACAGATCTACTGGAGCGATGACATCACCATCCCCTACACCCCGATGCTCGGTTGTATCGGAACGGCACCGGATACCGGTGTGCCGACAACAGGACCGGCGGGCCCTCACGGTGGTAATATGGATATCATCGAAACCTGTCCCGGCAATACCGTTTACCTGCCCGTATTTGTATCAGGTGGGTATCTCTATTTGGGCGATGCACACGCTGCAATGGGACACGGCGAACTTTCCGCTTCTGGACTGGAAATGCCTTCTGAGACAAAGATTACTGTCGATCTAATCAAGGGCAAAAACCTGCCGGACCTCGAATCGAATCCCCTACAGAGATCATGACCGTCGCCACCGGCTGCCCGATGGAGCATTCGACCGCTCAGGCTTATGCGTGGTTAATCTTATGGATGGAGGAAGAGTTCGGCTGGGATCGCTGGAAGGCGTATGACATCTTGACGCATGTCGGACAGATCTCGGTCGGTTACTATCAGATTGGGACAGTGGCAGCAAAGATCGCCAAAAGGTATCTGAAAAAGGATTAAAATCGGAAAGCAAGCGTGAAAACCCTATTGGACGGTCAGTCAGCTTTTCGGCAAGTCCTGACCGAAGCGTTTCGCTAGAATTGCGAGGTAAGATTATGGCTACAGTCTCAGTCAAAGATAAATACGTTGAGGTATTGACAACCTTTGGCGACTTACAAACAGCTATTGACCAGGCTCTACAGCGGTACACAATTGAGCAGATTGCCGTCAAGATAGCTGAACTCCAGCAAAAAGATGCTAAATATCAAACCAAATATGGAAATGGAGTACCCAACCTTCGTTGAACGTATGGCTAAAGATGAAACACTTATCAATCAGGTCGAAGCTGAGGGGAATAAAATGTGGGAGATTGATCTGGCAGATTGGGAATTCTGTTACAAAGGAATTGAAGATTGGACGCAAAAAGCTGCCAACCATTTTGCTGGCATAATTGCCCTTGCACAAGATGCCTTTGAACAAGTCGAGCATGTCGCTGACGCAACCCCTAAACGGGCTATTTTGCGTCTTCAGACTAAGTATGGTGTGTATCGGGTGTTGATTACCGAGTTATTCAGCGATGGTATGCGAAAATATCGGTACTATGTTCTACGTGGAGATTGGGTCGAAGCAGGTTTTGACAATAGCCCGGATCCACGCGCAATTCGGCTCAAGTATGGTCGAATTGGTGAAGAGCATGGCGGTGAATATGTGCCGCACCTTCATAGGAGCGACAAGAGTCTACTCTCCTTAACTGAAGACATGACATTTGCAGCCTTTGTTGATTGGCTGAAAGCAAACGTTCAACCTATACCTACGATGAGGTGATAAAAATGTACGGACAGAACGGACGAATCGGTTTGTTAGTGCCATCGGTTAATACAGTCGTCGAACCAGAATTTAACCGAATGATTCCAGAAGGGCATCAACGTCTATGCGGCGCGGATGCGGAATACCCGGTCAGATGTAGACGACTCCAAGGCGATGCTTCAACATGTGGAGCGTGCCGCCGATGAACTCGGCAGCGCACATGCAGACGTGATAGCCTTTGCCTGCACAGCGAGTAGTTTTGTCGCGGGCGTTGAAGGCGAAATCGAATTGCGAGACCGGATCGAACGGGCAGGAAAGGCAAAAGCGGTAACGACATCAGGTTCCGTTGCAGGGGCGTTGCGGACGCTCGGGGTTCGGCGCGTTGCGGTTGCGACACCCTACCCGGACGAACTCAATGTGCTGGAAAAACAATTCTTGGAGGACGAAGGCATCGAAGTCCTGACCATTGCCGGCATGGGCATCGTGGATGCGTTCAGCATCGGAAAGGTGACGCCACAAGAGACGTATGAATTCGCCCGGCGTGTCTGGCAGGCTGACGCCGATGGAATGTTTATCAGTTGTACCAACCTGCGCACCATTGATGTGCTAGCACGACTGGAAACAGAACTCGGCGTGCCAGTCATCTCCAGCAACTTGGCGACGTGCTGGGGGTGTTTGCGAGCCTTGGGACATCATGATCCGATTGACGGGTACGGGAGGCTTTTGTCAGAGCGGCACAGTGCCTAAAGGAACAGAGCGATGTCCAGTATCGTCGATATATTCAATCGTATGAACTTGGATGCGCCCGGATTGGAGGCGGTCAAGGCAGCGGTCGAAGCTGGGGATTATCCCGTTGCCGAGACAGCCTATCTTGCGTACTACCGTGCACGCAAGCCACCAATCCTCGATTGGCACACTGAGCATCGGGGCGGACGCTCCTTTGAGACGAATTCAACTGGCTGGAATTTCCTGACCGCCATCCCAGAGTTAATCACTTGGCGAGACCGTGAGAAAGTTAAAGGGCTAATCAGCCGTGCAAAGGGCTACACCTTCAGCCGCACCGAGGGGATAAAGTCGTCCGATTATACCGTGTTGGATCTGGCTGATATGCTCTTGGAGAACAAGGTCTTCATCCCGTATCACCCCGAAGATGGTGTCCAAGATCTGGGTCCCGATTGGAATTGGGAGCATATACCTCCCGTTGTTGGGCGGCGATGGACACTGAGTCTGCCATACCAATACTGTCTCCGTGCCTTGGCACAAGCCTATTGGTTGACCGATGATGAGCGGTATATCGCCAAACTGGTCAAGATTGCGACCCACTATGTCAGCTATGTGGATGGGAAGAGTTCGTGGATCTGGATTCCCGACATGCAGCTCGCACGCAACTATCAGCAACTGATGCCCTTCATGCTTTCTTGGGAAGGGTTGTCGCCGCACGATTTTTGCGCGATTCAATCTTGGTTGTCAGGCGGTTGTGCCGTATCAATGGAAGCGGTGACCGGTGCACCGGGCAATCAACTCCTGTTCAACGGCTTAGGACTAGCATGGATAGGCGTGGGGATGCCGGAATTCAAGGCTGCGGCACGGTGGCGTGAACGCGGGTTTGGCGAAGTCGAAGAGTTCTTCGGTGAAGGAGCGTTCTATCCGGATGGCTCGTCCAAAGAGAACTCCTACGGTTACGTCGTTGGTGCCTCCGCAGCCGGGTTGGAGGCTCTAACACTAGCGCAGGCAAATGGATGGAACTTTCTGAAAAATCTGCATCGTCCAATGTTATTGCGAGCTGAGTTCCTCGCCCATACCGCTAAACCGGACGGCAGCTATGTGTGGACTGGCGATAGCACACGCGGCTCTGCCTTCGATTATGTAGAGGCAATTGCCGACTCAGAAAACCGGGCTGACCTGCAATACATCGTTAGTTTTGGAGAACGCGGCACTCCCCCGCCGCGCAAATCGTCGTGGTACGCTTACGGTGGCGTTGGCGTGATGCGCAGCGGTTGGAATTGTGAAGCCAACTACCTATTTTTCGATGTGGGACCGGTGGGCGTCCTGCACGGGCACGAAGGGAAGTTAGCGGTGGAGTTTGTTGCCTACGGTCGTTCACTGGTGGAGGATTTGGGTATCCATACCTATGCGACAACTGAACGCGACATGAAATTTCACGATTTCTTCATTGCGTCTGCTGCACACAACACAGTCATTGTGGACGGAAAAAGCCAAGTCCGACTGAAAACGGGACCGTTCACGACCGCCCAGCCACTGTCGAACCGATGGTTCAGCACAGCGACCTGTGATTTCCTTTCGGGTTGCTATACCGAAGGTTACGGGGAGACGATGAGCGATGAAATTGATAGATCGGTGGTTCACCGCCGCAGCGTCATTTTCATCAAAGGACACAAGGTTGGCGATCCAGAGTATTGGATCATCACCGACCATCTGACCGGCGATGGTGTCCACACCTGTGAGCAGCTGTTTCATCTCATTCCGGTCGAGGTCAACATCGATCCGGATACGAAAACTGTGCAGACGGTTACACAACACCAACCCAATCTAGCGTTCATCCCAGCGGTCGCCGACGGTCTTGAGGTGGAGGTTGTCGAAGGGCGTACCGAACCGAACCTTCAAGGCTGGTATTGCGGCGGAGGTCCCCGCCCCACACCCGCTCCCTGTGTGACCTATCGCCGAACAGGAATGTTACCTACTGTTTTTCAGACGGTGCTCCTGCCAATGAAAGCCAACGAAGCAGCCTCTCTCAAGGTTGAATCGCTCGGCACTCCCGGTGACGGTTGGATCCGTATTACGTTCCCGGATGGTCGGGAGGACACCTACTGTTCGTCAGCGGCAGTGGGACCTCGGCAGTTGGGAGACATCACCTTCATCGGAGATGCAGCACTGATACGCCGCGACAGCGATGGAACGCTCTTGGATTGGGCCGTTGTTGGCGGAGATAACCTAGAATATCGTGGAGAGGTACTCCCCTCTGTCTGCGACTAACCTAACTCAAGTTGCTAGCCATACCTGACTTTCAAAGCCCCAGTTGCTTTGAATCCCGATCTTATCGGGGCGGGGCGACAGGTGGCAAATTACGTTAACGCACCCCATTTGTGCGGCGTGATTCTGATGGTCAGGGCAAGTCTAGATAATTTAAGAGGTTATTAATCTCAATCCTAAGTTTAAGAAGGAAAACATATCATGCAGCTGTCTAACGAACAGGTAGAACAGTTCTGGGAAGATGGATTCATCATTGTGGAAAATTTGCTTGACCCCGATGAGGTCTCTGCGCTTCTTGCCCATGCTGAATGGGTAGCAAGCGGGAAAGCCGCCCACATCCCGGAAGGACAACTCCAGATCGAACCCGGCGTGATGGCAGGAGAGGCTCAGACGGAGAACTACGCCGATTCCCTTCGGAAAATGAGCCATCTTGCCTTCTATGATGAAGGTTTTCAGAACCATGCCCGCAATCCGAAGATTCTGGACGCTATCGAATCGCTGCTCGGTGCCGACATCAAACTCTACCAAGACCAGCTTTTTATGAAGCCGCCACGGATCGGCTCGCGACAACGCTACCATCAAGATATGCCGCTCGGATTCCACATTGACCCGCCCGACATGGTGACCTGCTGGGCGGCACTCACCGATTCGACAATCGAGAATGGGTGCGTCTGGATGCTGCCCGGCACTCACAAGTTTGGCATCACAGACAAATCAAAATGGGCGGAATACGAGCAGATGTCGGTTGAGGGAAGCCTAGCTGAGGAACGTCCGTTGGAGTTAAAGGCGGGCGATTGCAGCTTCCACCACGGTCTCATCCTCCACAGCAGCCGTCCCAACCGAACAAATCAGAGGCGGCGAGGCTACGCGACGCATTACGTCAGCGCCAAGTGTCGATATACGGGTCCATCGGAAAGAGAGAACGATGCGATGCTGATGCGGGGCAAATCGATGCCGGGGCGTATCTAGAAGATTTCTCCCCTTTTGTTTATCTTTTAGGACTTACGCAATTGATATCAGGTGTCGGGGGAATTACTGCCCTCGTAGGCGGGGTATCTTGCCCCGCATCACCTGCGTGGGATAACTAACCTGTGCCACGAGTAAAGTGTAATTGTCGTGCGCCAAAGTCCTACGCATACGCAGTCGGAAATAGAACATGATTTTTGAAATGGAAGTGCGTAAGTCCTATCTTTTAAGGAGTGTCGTAGGTCGAAAACTCTCGGAACGGAGTTGGCTTGAACGATAATGAAACCCAACTCTAATGTACCAATGAACCAACATAATTATGCACACGAGCAAATTACTAAGATCTTCAGATTTTCAATATTGGCGACTTGCTAAAGATGAGCGCATCAGCATTGACTTTGAGGGGTTCTGTCCGAATTATCACGAACTAGACCGCGTCGGCGTCATCTCTCCTTGTCTCGAAGACGGGGTGCGCTACACCGGAGATGCCCTGCTGGCGTTGACAACGGCGTTCTACGATGTTCTCCGCTCACGTACAACCGATTTCTTCGACTACCCACAACACTTTGCATTTATTGGCGCAAGTGAGGAGGGCATTCATACACGAGGTGAACGACTACCGATCGATCAAATTGGGACGGGTTGGGGAAATCTGGATGTTTGGCCCAATTCAAAATGGATTGCGACACCGAGAAGTGCCACAGGGATGCTGAAAAAGGTTTTCGATTTTCAGATAAATCGACTGTTCTTGCCGCACGATTTCAAACTAGGCTCCGACGAATCCCCACTCCCCGCCTATGCGTGTAAGATGCTCGGCACTCGGCTTAAAGCGATCTACTACTACAATACCCCGATTCCCAACATAGAAATTCGCGCCTCTCAACAGGTGGTAGATCTCATTCAGAGAAGCATCGCTGAATTCCCCAACGCCAACAGTGAGGTCGAACACCCCACGCAGAGTGATTTCCCCTCTGTTGGGCGGTATCAGCAGGTGAGTGTTGATGATTTCCTCGAAGATATGGCGGGTTGTTTCGACGGTAATTGACGGAAGGAGATCGAGAAATGGCGCGTTATCCCCAAGCGGTTCTGGTGTCCTGTGAAATACCGTGGGACGAAAACGAGAATCTGATGGAAGATCTGTTTCGAGAGGAGGTACGGTATACCCTCAAGGCAGGGTTCAACCACCTGTATATCTTTGGCACCGCCGGTGAGGGACATGCGGTCGATATCCCTCGTTTTCAGCAGATCGTTCAGATCTTCTACGAAGAGACGCGGGGCCCCGATGTCCACCCAATGGTTGGAGCGATTGGCTTGTCCACAGCGAACATCGTTGAACGCGTGGGGTTCGCACACGACATCGGCTTCCGCACGTTCCAAACCGTCCTGCCGAGTTGGGGTGTGTTGAACGATGACGAATTAATAATCTTCTTCAAAGATCTGTGTGGCACGTTCCCTGATTCACAGTTCTTGCACTACAACCTGCCGCGGGCAAAACGGGTCTTGGGCGGTGCGGAATATCGGCGATTGATCGACGCCGTTCCCAACCTTGTGGCAACAAAGACGACGAGCGGAGGCTTGCCCGGTGCAGCCGATCTGATGCACCACTCGTCAGAACTTCAACATTTCTTCGGAGAATGGAATTTTCCACACGGCTGCATGTTCGGAGAGTGCTCACTGCTCGCTTCATTTGGTCCAATGACACCCCACAAGACGTGGGAGTATTTTGAAGCGGGACGCACACAGCAGGTCGAAAAACTTTTTCGGTTGCAACACGACTTTCACAAAATGGGCATGGATATACTTAGCCCGGTGTGGGACAAGGAACGGATAGACGGTGCCTACGACAAAATCATTGTGCGGTTGGGTGGGCTAGAAGAGATGCCGCTGCGCCTGCTCTCACCGTATCAAAGTTTCACGGAAGCGGAGTATCAGGCGTGTAAGCGGATACTCCATGAAAAGTACCCTGATTGGGTCCAGAGGGAATTATGACATCACTCAATTTCAAATCGAGAGTACCTGTTTTTGACGCCAACGTGAGGGTTGGCGATCTATTGGACGAGCCTGCCCCCTACCGCGATCGGGAGGGGTTGCTGGCAGAAATGGATCGGCATGGGGTAGAGCGCGCTCTCATTACCACGCACACGCTGACAATGTTAGCCCGATTGAAGGCAACAACTACCTTGAAGCGTGGCTAGGCGATGATGGACGCACCCATCCGCAGTGGATGGTTATCCCCACAGCGGACTCGCTTGCACAGATTCAATCGCTTCATGCTGAAGGGAGGGTCAATTGTGTGCGGTTGTTCGATACCGGGCAACGGGATCTGCCCTTCCGCCCTTGGGCTTACGATACGCTGCTCTCTTGGCTCAGTGAGAAGCGCATTCCTGCTTGGATCCTCCTGCCGGACGCCGATGCTGATGCGTTGGTCACAACACTTCAGGCGTACCCAAGTCTAGTAACGGTCTTGGTGGGAGCACATTATGTCCATGCCCTTTGGTTACGCCCGATGTTAGCCGCATTACCGAATGCCTGCTTGGAGTTGAGTCGCTACGAACCGATCTGCGAGATAGAATCTCTGCGCGACGAGTTCGGTGCCGACCGATTGGTCTACGGTTCATGGTATTCCCGCCTTGCGATGGGACCGATGTTGTTCTATCTGCACCACACCAATCTAACTGATGCTGAACTCACGTCGGTTTGTGCTGGCAATCTTGAGCGTATTCTACAAGGAGGGACACAATGATTGATGGAACACAAGTCATTGATTATCACGGGCATGTGGGTCGCTGGGATCCGCTCGGCATGAAGGATGATCCGAAGTTGATGCTCCATGCTATGGACTCAGCAGGTATTGACAAATCCTGCGTATTTGGCATCTTCCATCCCGACGGTACAGCGAGCAATGACCAAGCCGCCCATTTTATCGCGCAGCATCCAGATCGCTTTATCGGATTTGCATACGTTTCACCGATGATGCCGGAGCGGATGATACCAGAATTGACCCGCGCGATTGACGATCTGAAATTTCCCGCCATTAAGCTTTATCCGCCCTACACCCTTTGGCCCTTTAACCAACCGCAGTGGCATCCGATCTACGAATTCGCGGACGAGCGGGGACTCGCTGTCCTTTTTCATACCGATGGCGGTGAATTAAGCCGGCCCCGGCATCTATCCGAAATCGCGCCGCAATATCCGAACGCTAATTTTGTCGCTGGTCATGCCGGCAACGTCATCGAACCTCGCACTGAAGCTATCGCCGCTGCACAGGCGCATCCCAACGTCTATCTCGAAACATGCTCCACCTATCGGACGCCCGGCGTGATTGAGCAGTTGGTGAATGAGGCAGGTGCAGATCGAGTGCTGTTCGGCTCGGATGTGCCCTTGATGGATCCGCGTCCTCAGATCGGCAAAATTATCACCGCGGATATTTCCGACGAAGCCAAGCGGCTGATCTTGGGTGGGAATGCCCGCCGTTTATTGCGCATCTAGTCTGCTAACTCAGGGCAATCGCATGTAAATAGTGTGTGGGACTTTGGCATACGACAATGCAAATCTACTCGTAGCCACAGGTTTCCAATCCGATGCCTCGTGATTGTTCACGAGGCATCGGAACACCTGTGATCGCCTGCGGGTTGGGCAACCCCGATTTCATCAAGGTCAGCCTCTGCGCCACGGCAGCGGTTCACCCCAGGTGCTGATTGCTCAGTTGCCTAATCTTTATAACAGATGCAATTCCCCTACCGCTAACCCAATTTCGTTAGCAACTCACGCTGACCTGATACGCGCTGCTCTCGCTCGCCGGCGAAGCGTTTAATCCCGGCAAAGATCGACTCGAGCGTCGAGGTGTGCTTCCGTGATCACATCCGGTTCGGTTCCGCCGGTGAGCCACTGATTATCCCAGTCTGCGGTCAGCGAATAGGCGTCCGTCAACGGTCCGAGATTTTTGATTGGCCAAACGCGTTGTGTTCCTGTGCTCACCACCATCAGGTCGTAGCGTGCTTCTGGAGGCAACACGGATTGGCGATAGGTATCGGGCTGCAGATCGAACAACTCTTCACTCACAGCCGCGATGATTTTCACGTTTATGCCCTGCTCCTCTAGTCGGGGGATAATCTGAACCAAATTGACAGTAGAATTAGAACCTTGGACGACCACATAACCGTGTTTGGGCTGGTCTGGGTTAAAATCACGAATGACGTATAGCCCTTTAGCGGCTGCCTTGAGATCGCTGTCTGCAAATGTATTGCGGTCAGCCACTGGAAAATCCGGACGAGCGACTTCGATGATAATGACCCCGACCCGCGGATCACGAGCGGCAACCTCAGCAGCGGCGAAATACACCCGGAGCAACATCGTTGTAATCCCAGAAACTGACATGGATCGCCTGACCCCGCGGGAAGAGTTTCCACACCTGCGGTGCAAAAATACCGAAGTGCGTCCGTGCATCGGCGGCGGTCTCTGGTCCCGAATGCCCCGCGAGAACGTTAAGAACACCCATTCGGAAAGGGCTGTCTTGGTTCTGCTGGCTCCACACGCGGGCAGGCAGGTACATCAGCGGTGTAAAAGCACCGTAGGTGCCACTCAACGCCCAGACCCCAGCGAACTTCTCCGGGTCAAGTGATGCGCTTTGACCAACTAACCCGATGGCACTTGACACGTTCCCCGCTTCTTGGATAGGGGCTTTGAACCGCGTGCCTGCTGGATTGGTGATCGGATTGTAATGTCCCCAAAGGCTACCATGTTCAACATTGATCGACTCTGAGAGGTCAGCAGCAAGGGTAATAAAGCGGTTATCTGTCACATAGTTCATCCACTTGATAATTTCTGAAATCGCCCGACGGGTTCCAGCAACCTCTCCGGGTTTCTTGAACAGGCTAATATCCACCTCCTGCTCCTCACCCGATACAGGATTCTTCGCGGTGAGTGTCTGCGGCTCGACAGGAAGATTTTCCGCCCGAAGTTGGTCATCCAGAAACGGATCACGCTTGGTATCAACCCGCAGCGGCAAATCATCCTGAACCGCATCACCAATATTGATGAGTCGATTCGCAAGCCAGTCTCCCAGTCCATTTTGATCGAGCAGCGACATCACCACGTCAATGTTGGTCTTTAACTGTATCAGACGCTCGCGCTCATCGGTTACCGGTCCGTTGCGGATACCCTCAAATTCTACCCCATAACGCCTCTCGACGGTCTCTGCCAAGGCAACGAAATATTCTTCGTTCATTTTTAAGCCATACGGGTGGCTTGGGTAACTGACCAACTGATCCCCGTACCCCTCAATCTTCCCAATCACCGCACTGGGCCAATAGCCCTTGACCGTCCTGCCGATAACAATCATGGGGCGTCGGTCATCGGCGTCCCAGTCTTCCATGGTTTTGAGAACCGCAAGAATCTGATCGTAATCGTTGCCGTTTTCAAGGGCAAACACATTCCACCCGTAGGAGGTCCACTGCTCCTCAAGCTCGTACTGCTTATACTTGGAATCAATGACCCCACCCACTAAGGTATCATCGATGCCAGCGTTATTATAAGAGAGCAGGATACGCAAGCGTTTCCCCACCTGCATTGCGAGTGCCTGCGTTTTTAGCTCTTGGGCGTGTCCCTCGGTCATGGCAAATTCGCCCTCAAGTGCGAGCACCTTCAGTGATTCAGGAGCATCTAGAAAGTTCCAAAACGCCGCTTTGCCGGCGGCTGTTGCTATACCGATACCTGAAGGTCCTCCGTTGACATCGTTAGTCAAATCGGTTGTTTCCGAATGTCCCGCTAGCGACCGGATGCCGCGTAGTTTTGCCTGTGCAAAAAGCGGATGCTCCTCCAAGTCGTTCTCTTTCAGCAATGTCTTTAGTGCCCCTGCACCACGTCGAAAACCGAGTGCATCTATCGGCAACATAGCAATTTCCGGTGCAACCTTGTAACGTGGATCACCTGTGGCCGTGTGCGCCCGCGCCATTGCTTCGCCCATAATCATCCACAACGCATACGCGGTAGGAATGTTATGCCCGCCGGCGAGCATAAACTTGTCGCAGAACGGATGCTTGGGGTTACGATAGTCGTAGCACAAACCCCCAAGTTCTGGACCCGCTAAATGGAGTGCGACATTGTAAGGCGTGTAAGCCAACGGTCCGCCAAAATGCCCCGTCTGGGCATAATTACCAAGCAGCACCAACGTCATACAGGTCATGTGCCCGATATCCTCAAAGCGCTCCCGATCGTATGTCGCGGTTAGTGCCTCAACAGGTGATAGTAAAGTGTTCGCATTGAGCGTATTTTGCATCTTTATTCCCAGTGTGTTAGAGATTTGTGAGTGAATATATCGAAGAATCTCGAACCTTGAGTAAAGTTCTGTTTCGATGTTGTTGTGTAGTGATTATCTCGCCGAGGTGTGGCAGGTTGAGCATGCTGAAATTTCGAGCTATCAGGAAAACAGTAGCAGAAGTTTAAGGCAGGAAAATCTTTCGATGAAAGCCACTTTATCAATGATTAACCTTTAGGAAAAGTCAATTGCTTAAACGTCCCGTCACATGAGCTAAGTTATCACCGACATGGACGCGATGAATGCGCCGCAGCATAATAACTACGCCGGCACTCTCAGCCATGATTTCCGCTACAACCTCACCGAAGGGATCGCGAACGGTGCCCAACCGTTGACCGGGGCTAACTTCGTCTAGCAGCGCTACGTCGGATCGGAAGTAGCCAGCGGCGGGTGTCGAAATGACACTGTCCATATTTCCATCCCCGGACAGGTGATGTGTTACGGGTTGAATCTGAGACTGACCGTCCAGCATATCAAGATGCTTCATCACATTGATCACACCGGTGGTAAAGCAATTCACATCAGACGGGTGGGCGTAGCCGCCACCACCAGCCTCGGTATAGATCGCCGGCACACCGAGATCCGTGGCTGCTGATAAGGTCCGACCGGAAGGCATTGGCGGTGGATGCTCCCAGACCACCGATGCACCGAATGCCAGCGCACCAGCTCGTGAGCGTCTGCCAAGTTCATCGTCGCTGTGGGTGAAGCCAATGAGTGATGGGATTTCGGCGGTCACACCTCCGCTGTGCAGGTCAATAACGAAGTCGGCAGGTTTAATCAACTTCTGAGTGATCCAGTAAGCAATCCGTTGCGTGATAGTACCGTTGGGATCGCCGGGGAAAACACGTGCCAGATTCAGTCCATCAATAGGACTGCTGCGGAGGACGGATTCATAGGCTGGCACGTTACAAATTGGAACCATCAGTAATGCACCGCGTAGTGCATCAGGTTCTACCCGCCGGAAAACTTCGGGGATAGTCTCAACCCCTTCGTATTCGTCACCGTGCACCGCGCCGAGGACAAGCAAGGTGGGACCAGCAGTTGCCCCTACCACATAAAGAAATGGTAAGCGCCAGTCACCTCCATCCGCCCGTGGACCCACTTCTAACCATGCAGACGCTTTGGAATCACAGGGAAATCGCGAAATGTCGAGTTCTTGAAAACGCACTGCGTCTAGTGCCCTCCAACTTCACCAACCTGAATCTCAATCTCATCCCGATTTCGGATCCGTTCAACCAATCCATCGCGGATATCAACGATCCGGTCAGAAACATCAAGCATCTTTAAGTCGTGCGTCGCCGAAATGACGGTTACGCCCTGATCGACGTTAAGCTTGTTTAATTAAATCAATAATTTCTCGACCGATGACCGTATCGAGGTTCGCCGTCGGTTCATCTGCCAAAATAATACTTGGGTTATTTGCGAACGCGCGCGCAATTGCGACACGCTGCCGCTGTCCACCAGATAATTCATCGGGTCTATGGTGAGTCCGTTCCCCTAATCCAACTCGGTCCAGCAGCTCTTCGCCTTTATCGCGACGCTCGCTTGCCGATAGCCCCGCGAAAATCATCGGCAGGGTTACGTTTTCGAGTGCCGTCATGACGTGCAGCAGATTGTAGCTTTGGAAGATGTAACCGACCCGGTGGCAGCGGAACCATGCGATTTGGGACTGGCTGAGCTGCCCCATATCTTGACCATCAATGAAACTCTACCTGCGGTCGGAAGATCTAAGGCACCTATCATATTGAAGAGCGTTGATTTTCCTGAGCCAGACGGTCCCATCAATGAGATATATTCTCCGCTATAGATTTCCAAATCAATCCCGGCGAGTGCCCTGAGCACGTTGGTGCCCATACGGTATTCCTTAACAACCTTTTCAGTTTTTACAACGATGTCTGCCATTAGCGTTCCTCCTAAACTTCAGTCCGCATCGCTTCCGCTGGGGGCAGCTTTGCAGCACGCCACGCTGGAAACGCCGCGCCGATAACGGCAAGAATCATGCCGAGCACACAACCACCAAGGATAATCAGTAGCACCCCGAACCTAGCAGGCTGTTCGTTCAGCTGGTAGTAGAGGGAAGTAAAAGAATAGATCCAAACCGTAATCTTTGAGCCCCAGCAGAAGTGATCCAAGACAACCGATGAGTGCCCCAATGAGCGCACCCGCAAGCCCTTGGAATCCAGACTCCAACAAGAATAGTCTCACGACGAAGCGATCCAAGGCACCGAGACACTTCATTGTGCCGATTTCTTGAAAACGCTCCGTGACCGCCATCAGCATCGAATTAGCGATTCCTACGACGCAGACAATTAAGGACATGATAATCAACCATTTATCCTTCATAGAAATCCCCTGTCGATTCCTCTTCTTCAAAGGTGGTGATCTCCTGTTTTGAGCCGCTTTCTTTCATCGCCACACTCACCTCGTTGTTCACCAAAACCGACACCAGAAATGCGATTCCCAACGTAATACCCGCGGTCGTAATGACAGAGCGCCCGAAACGGATCATCAAGCTCTGAAAACTAATCCTCACGGATTCCATGAATGGGAGCTCAATCTGTTGTCCAATTGTACCTCGTGTCTGTTGTTGCAAATTGTATTCCTCCTGATTTCTAAAATTGCAAGGTCATTTTATCATGCTGCGACAATAAAGTCAAGCCTTGCATGAGCAAATTTAAGAGCATTTAGTTTTCTGTTTTGGCTTATGCCCCACTGTTTTCTGTCCCCACCCGGTAGGCGGGGCATCCCCGGTCACGGGATTCTCTCGGACTTGCCCCGCAGTTTTCTATCCCCACCCGGTAGGCGGGGCATCTTGCCTCGCAGTTTGTAGTAGCACGTTCATTGCGCCTTCTTATGCTAGGTGTCGAAGGCGTCCTTTATCCGTGTAATCCGTCAATCCGTGTTTATCCGTGATTCAGATTGCTTTGAATCCTGCTTGTCCCCCTGGTCTCGATTTATCGGACGATTTATCGGGGATCTATCGGGGCAATAATATGAGAGAATTAAATGACCCTATAGCAAATTTAGGGCATTAAATTATTAAAGATTCACGGCAGCATTGGGTTCAACCTTGCAATCCCACCCGATAGGGACCGTATTCAATGAGGATTTCCACATCCTCGACAGTCACTCCACCCACAAATCCGGCGGGGCGTTCCTTCAATGCAACCTCTAACACATTTGCCCCCTTCTGTGGACGTACATGCTCTAGGTGAAATTCTAACCACTGACCTGCGTACGGGTCTCGCGATCTGATAACGGTACGTGTGCACCGCTCCTCTGCCAACGATTGTCCGTTCAACAGCACCTCAAATGTGTCTGCGGTCACTAGGTTAGTCACACCAAGCCGGAGTCGAGCACTCTGTACCCGGTCATTTTGAGTGTCGTCGGCGATGGAAAAGGGGATCTGATAACGTATCTTTGCGTCCGCCGATGGGATTTCAACTGGCAGGAAGGCTTCGTAATCGTGATCACCTGTCGCCTCGGAACGCCGGCGCAAAAAGTAGTGTTTGTCGCCTTCCTTAATCAATTCCGGGTCGCCCAACTCTGTGAGGGTGCGGCGTTCCGCATCGCCCAGGGGCCACGGCAGAAACCAAGAGTAGAGTCCATCAACCCCACGTTCCCAAAAGTTAGCAGCAGCTGCCCGCATCATAGCAGGCGTCGCATCTTCTACCGAATAAAATCGCCGGTTCTCTTCGCTGTAATAGGGTTGCAGCATAGCGTATACCGAAATGTCGTTTTCGTGTGCCTCTTGTACCAACCAATCAATCGGCATGTTAGCATCAAGCACAAAAAACGCATAGACCATCGGAACGACGAAGTCAACGAGTCCCTCTCGGAGCCAAGTCTGTACATCCAACCCCGTCTTCTGATTCAGCTCTAAGGTAGGATATATCCGTGCACCAATTTGCCCAGGTCCCCCCGGTCGCCTCCGTACCATCTCAGCGACACTCCGGACGAAATCGGTCATCACCGGAGTATACTCCGGTGCGTCTTCCGGTTTAAGCCAGAAGGGACTGCCGCCCGGAGCCGCAGCGAAATCCAACTCCACCCCTTCTACAGGATACTGCGTGGCGAGTTCTTCTAGCACGGCAAACTGATGGTCTCGGACTTCGGGATGGACGAATCCTCTGCCACCGTTTGCTAGCACGTGCTGCGGATCCATACCACCGTAACCTCCCATGCGTAGGCTAGCGAAAAAGTCCATCCCTTTCTCATGCGCCCGGTCGATGAGGAGAGTCAACGGATCGATACCTCGGTCTATCAGGCTTTGCATGTTTTCCCAGATGCGCCAGTAAGGGGCACTGTCAAAGGGACGGATGTCCTCTCCAAACTGCATACCGACTTTGGACGGGTAGAATAGTCCATCAGCGCGTGACACCCCGTAGGTAAAAGTGTCGCAGCTCGTGCCAGCGACCTCGTCCACGGCAGACCATGCCTCTTCCAACCGGATCGGCGGCTCAAAAACGAACAGATAGTAATGACGGGCATCATTGAAGTAGATTGTTCTATGTTTTCTCATGACGGATATACTCTCTTGTACCCTTTACAGAGATGGAAGTTGGTAGTGTTTGATGTTTTTTGGATCTTGACATTCAATCTTCAACCTATTATAATCGAAGGTGAAGACATAGTCACCATAATTTTATAACCCAAGTTGCAATCTATTGGAAATTAGGGAACTTTGTGTCTTTTTTAGCGTTTTTTTGCCTATTTACTAGACCCGCTCGGCTTGGATAGATCTATCCAAGCCATGCTCACACGTGGACAGTAGATTTGTCAATCCACTTGGGGTAAGCACATGTAAATCGAAGATTTACCTAGCGAACCTCTGCGAGCAGCGTTGATTCGATTGAGTTTTCATTCTTCCAGTTTGTAACATTCCTTATAAGGAACCCAAGTTGCTAGTAGTAGGTATATTGCTTTGAATCCCGATCTTATCAGGACTCCGTATGCCATAACCCCCAATTCCACGGGGAAAACGGGGAATTTTAAGTAGTAGGCATACGCCGTATGCCGTAACCGTTGTGCAAATTACGGCATGTTTCTTAATCCCGATGTATCGGGGGCAAAGCGTACCTGCCGCTCTACATTGCGAATCCAAGTTGCCGCGAGTAAAGCTACCCAAGGTATTTATTTTAACACAAGTTGCTAGTGTTGAAAATCCATCAGTTTGCTGTTAAAGCTGAAGGACCCTACTTTCGCTCCAGAGGAGCGATATGTCTATAGAATGGCGATAAGTGCAATCCCTGCGCTCCAGAGGAGCGCAATGTGTATAGAAATACCGAATACGCACATATCAAATCCCAGCGGGGCGACATGTGTATCGCATTGGGGTAAAGCACAATTAAGTCAGAGAAGACCGCTCTCGCACAGTAATCCTTCTAGCAGTTGTCGAGTATAGAAACTCGACCTACAAGCTATCTAGCAACTTGCGTTATAAGTAATAATTTGCGTTTTTATATTTTTCAGGCATTTCTACGCAACTGAACGAAATCATGAATAAAGAATCTCTCCACGCAGATGTTATCATTATTGGCGGCGGCGTAATCGGCTGTGCAATCGCTTATAACCTCGCCAAAGCGCAGGTAAAGACACTGGTTATTGATAAGGCAGACAACGTTGGGCGAGAGGCGTCGTGGGCGGGTGCGGGTATCTTGGCATCTCACGCATCAACGCACGAACCGTATGCCGAACTCTGCCGTGCGAGTTTGGCACTTTATCCGGCATTGGCAGAGGCGTTGCAAGCGGAAACGCAGATAGATATTGAGTTTATCCGGTCTGGATCGATCGCGGTTTTCTTCACCGATGAAGAGAAGCAAGGGTTGACGGGGTTGGCTTCACGGCGGCTGGATCGCGGTTTTTCCGCAGAGATACTCACACCTGAAGAGGTTTGGGAATTAGAGCCTGCTATTTCCAAATCGATTGTCGGCGGGGTACGCTTCCCACACGATGCGCAAGTCAGAAATCCCAAACTGGTGCTAGCATTGGCAAAAGGAGCAGCACTGTACGGGACGGAGTTCCTGTTTGGCAATCCTGTGACTGCGTTTCTACGGGACGGGGAACGGGTGGTAGGGATCGAAGTCAACGGAGAGCGCGTTTACGGGGACACATTTGTAATCGCATCAGGGTGCTGGTCAGGGACGATCGCTGCCCAGCTGGGCGGTGCGCTGCCGATGGAACCGGCACGTGGACAGATGGTATTAGCAGAAGCAATGCCGCCAATCCTGCGGCACGTTATTGACGGACTAGGGGTTTATCTGGTGCCACGGTCTGATGGGAAGATCTTGATCGGTGCCACCGTTGAATTTGTTGGCTACGACAAGCGGACAACGTTGGAAGGTACGCGACAAATGATCGAAGCCGGCATCGGTTTAATGCCAGTCCTTGCCGAGAAATCCTTCGTACAAACATGGGCGGGGCTACGTCCCTACGCAAAGGGCGGTCCATATATTGGAGTGCTGCCCGGTTTTGACAATGTGTTCGTCGCCGCCGGACACTTCAAAAACGGTATTCTGCTTGCGCCAATCACGGGGACACTGATCTGTGAATTGATTACAACAGGAAATCCATCAATGTCGCTAGGTTCTGTTGACATTTCATCGTAGCCAGATAATCGTGGCAACGAAACTCAGAAACCCCATATACCGAACCGCTAGCTTATCAAACCGAGAGGAGATACGGCGATACTGCTTCATTTTGTTGATAAAACATTCGACTAAATGCCTCTCTTTATACAGATGCACATCATAAGTGCGGGAATCCCGACGGTTGGCACGTGGGGGTATCACCGGCACCGCCCCCCTTTGGGTTATCGACTCAATCAATGCCATCGAGTCATATGATGTGTCAGCTATCACATACTCACTGTTATAGCCGTCAATTAACGCCTCAGCACAAGTGATGTCGTGCCGTTGACCCGCTGTCAGCATAAAATGTAAGGGATTGCCTAAGCCATCAACAGCGATATGAATCTTAGTTGAGAATCCACCCCGGCTGCGTCCAAGTGCTTGTGAGGCTTGACCCCCACTTGTTTTCAATGCACCACCAGCACATGGGTGTGCGCGAATGATAGTGCTGTCAATGATAAGCCACTCCATATCGGGGTCTTTGGCAAAGTGTTGGTGCATGCGTTGAAAGATATCTTTATCGCACCACCTTGCGAATCGTTTATAGACACTGTTCCAATTGCCGTACTGGTTAGGTAACAGTCGCCATTGACTGCCACTACGAGTTATCCAAAGCACCGCATGGATAAAACGTTTTAAGTGTGTGTGTTGTCCGGTATAGATATCAGGACAGGTGTTAAGGAATTCTACTATTTTTGACCATTGCGTATCGGATAGGGTTAGTGTGGACATATTACCATTATGCCACAAATGTCAACACGCCCTAGCACCATTTAGCCTGTAACAAACCAACTTGTATAGAAACCGATTGAGTTCATTAGTACATTAGTTCATTTTTCACGCATCACGTTTTACGCCCTTATGTATGTCTCAGTGCTTCAATCGGTGTTAGTTTCGCGGCGCGGCTTGCCGGATAGTATCCGAAAAATACGCCGACACCCCCACCTGCGCACACAGCCGTCAACACCGATTCAGCAGTGATGATAGAGGGCCACTCAATAACATCCTTCATAAACTTACTCACCGCCCACGCAAAGCCACTGCCCAACGCCGCTCCCAGAGCAATACCTATAAGACTACCTATGAGACACAGGATAACCGACTCAATAAGAAACTGTGCGCGTATATCCCGGCTCTTCGCACCAACAGCTTTACGCAGCCCAATTTCAGGGATGCGCTCAGTGACGGATACCAGCATGATATTCAAGATACCAATTCCACCAACAACCAAAGAAACAGAGGCAATAATGACGAGGATAAGCTCAATAACCATGATAATACGGTTCGCAGATTTTAGCTCCTCCTTCATCACCCATGTTTCAAAGAACTCCTCGCCATCATGGTTGCGCTTCAAGACCGTCTTGACCTCCTTCACCGCTTGATCCACAGATTGATGGTCTTTTGCGCGGATCAGGATATGCCCCACCCGATCATTCCCCCAAAAATGGGTCTGCGCTGTGGTAATTGGAATAAATACTTGGTTGTCTTCACTATTCTCCGTGTCGAGCCCCTTGCCTCTAGACTCCATCACCCCCTACGACGGTAAACCGTTGATTGTTAATTTTTATCTCTCTCCCGATCGGATCAAGTTCCGCAAACAGATCCTTCCAGACCTCCTCACCAATCACACAGACCTTGCTCCAGAGACTGAGGTCATCATCAGACAAAAATCTGCCATATCCGCTATACCACTTGCGTGCAATCTGATACTCATGAGCGGTGGCTTGCATCCGAGAGAACTTGCGTTTCCCTCCAACCGAAATCGTTGCACTACCCCCCAGCTTCCGGGGTTGCCACCTCAACGGACGGACACTCAGTTTGGATCGCACGCACATCCTCCATCTTCAAGTAGTGCTTGCTTGGATTTCGCATCCACTTCTCATTCTTACGAATCCATTCGCGTCGATATACTCCGAACATGCTCGGTCCTCCGACCTTTTCGACCTCCCACATCAGGAGTGTCTTCGCACCCGCTCCGAAGGACATCATCGCAATGACACCCGCAATGCCAATCACGATGCCCAACATCGTCAAGAATGATCTCAATTTGTTTGAGTGTAAAATTGAGAATGCAGTGAATACCGCTTCTAACAGTTTCATCTAATTTCCTTTTCTGATTCCATCTAGCTTTTCATGATCATCTACAAGAAGCATTTTGTCCCATTTAAGCCTGAGTTGTCAAGAGAAAATAGCCCCCGCTTTTTCATTGCAGGGCTAAACCCTATGTGATAGAATACCCGCTAATCCAGTGTTCAAATAATTTGAATAAAATGTTCTTCCATTTGTTAATCATTCAGACGACAATGCGACATTCAATGTTTAGAAATCAATTTCAGCAAGAGAGATCAGGAAATGTCAAGGATAGCCAGAGAGAGCCGATGTGTCCTGTTGGATTGGGGCGATACCTTGATGCGGGATTTCCCGGAATTTAGCGGCCCGATGGCTGCTTGGCCCCATGTCGAAGCTATTCCCAACGTCAAAGAGGTGCTTGTCGAACTTCGGAGACAATGGACACTCGCCCTTGCTACAAATTCAATTGACTCAGATGAGACGGCAATTTGGAAGGCACTGGATCGGGTCGGGCTCAGTTCACTACTGGATAAAGTGTACTGTTTCCAAAGTATCAGTCACAGTAAGCCTTCACCGGGCTTCTTTGACTACATTGTTAAAGACCTTCTGATAGATAGGCGTTGCATAGTGATGGTCGGCGATGGCTTTGAGAAGGATGTGCTTGGAGCAAATCAGTCGAGAATTCGTGGCATCTGGTTTAACGAATCGTCGGATGAGATTAAAGTCGGGAAGATGTACAAAACGATTTTCGATTTCCGATCCCTGCCAGATGCACTTGCCACTTTCGGCATCGAATCTGATACCTAATGCAAGCCCTTCTAACTTCCCCTTCCCAAACAGGAGAACTACGCTCCTACTCACTGAGGGCGATCGAAACAGGAAATTTCTATTGATGAGAAAGAATGTGGACACTAGCTATGCCGCTGATTCACGAAAATCTCCCCCAATCCACGCTATCGGTATTAGACCGAGCAGCTGCGCGAACTCGAGGAGAAGTATTATTCCCACTCCCTCGCCTGACCACCCAAAAAGAGATTGATGCCCATCGCGTAAAACTCCAGCAGTTGAAGCGTGAGAGCATAGCCGCGTGGCTTTTGCTTGATACCATGACGGCTGGAACCCGCTTCTGGCTCAATTTTGTCGAACATACGTTCCACCAAGCCGAGGATGAAGCAGCTATTCAGAACCGCCTTCGCGGGTGGAGGCAAACCTCCCAAACGTTTGACCGCATTTACCTCCTCGCACAAACACACACGGACGCACCCTGCTACGATATAACAGATCATATCCAGCGTTGTGTGGACGGCGATCTCTCCGTTGCGGACCGGCTGAAAGGCAGAACAATCTTTCGGCTGTATCAAACAGATATGCAGGGGCATGATCTATTGAGTCCGCAGGGCGTTGGTGCACTCGCTCACCAAGTTTTGGAAAGGTATATACACGAATTTCACGACCTGATAGAACATTCCGTTGCAGGGATTCTGCTGCGAATTCCCGACATTTCTCTCTCCCCTCAAGGTGCCAGCGACCTCGATCCCTTGGAGCGATGCGTTTGGAAAAACCTTGGACCCAGAACTGCTAGCTCACCTGCCGTTAATTCATTATGAAACCTACGATTCAGCGACAATCCGCAGCCTCTTTTGGGAGCGATTGACCCAACAGTTTGCAACAGTCTGCGTCGGAGGGTTGAGGGACTTTTCCCACCAATGGGATCTACAATTCGCCGTCAACTTCCCGTCAACGTCGAAAGCGTTAGAAGTAGATATCGGAACAATTCTGAAAAGCCGCAGACTGTCCCATCCTCAACGCCAATAAACTAGATAAACCCAAGCCGTTTTTAATTGCAAAGCAGATTACCAGTCGAAGACTCTCGGAACGGAGCCGTTTTGAATCCCCAGAAGGTTCAAGTCAAATCAGCCTATGCAGATCTAATTCACACTCAAATCGATTTGTTGCTGATAGTGCTTTGGGATTCAATTCGTGGATGCGTAACGAGGAACATAATAACAGTAAGACCGTATCAAGAGGCAATGAGGCACATTACTATAGGCAATTTCTATCAATCGGCCTTCCAAAAAGATCGGTTCTGATCCTCTCTCCTATTCACAGTTTATGGACGAAACCCGATCCAAAAGGGTGGAATTGGCTGGTAAAAGAGTGGAGTTGGCTCTGTCAGACGGTATGGGAGCTTGGATACGATTTTGATGTTGCCTCCGAGACAGTGTTTGCTACGGCGGAAGTGGATAAATCCGCTCGCGCATTGCGCCTTAACGGGGGGATCTTATTCATCAGTTCTGCTCCCCTCTTGTTTAGCGCTTCAGGAGACGACGGTGGATGTACTGACTCAGTTTGTCAAGGCACGGGCCGGACTAATCGCCGTAGATCCAGTTCCGTACCTGCTCAATGGTCGAATTGGCTTAGATCCCCACCCACTTGAACGATTACTTTACCGATGGCGCACATCCATCCTACGGGGAACGACAAACGAAAAAATCGCAGCCTTTGAGCGACTGCTACGCAAACAAATTAAGCCCTCCATACAGATTTACGCTAAACCCGACAATACGCTAACGCGCGCAATCGTCTTTCAACACCGTGAATCTGCGGATCTGGATCTGTTCTATCTGTTCAATCGTGGCGAGCAGTCAATCGAGACGCTGATTGAAATTCAATGGGAATCAGCCATTGAGGAGTGGGATACGACAAACGGTGAGCGACATGCGCGATCCCATTGGCACGCAGATGAGAAGACATACGCGCAGTTATCCTTTGATTGTGGACAGGGGAGATTTGTCGTTGCACGACGCGGTGTGTCGGACTGAGCCTCAGTGCACGATACTCTTACCAACGTTTTGCACTTGTGTTTTAAGTTGTGCAGTAGTATCCTAACGCAAATTGCTATAAAGTAGTAGGCATATTGCTTTGAATCCCATCTTATCGGGGCTCCGTATGTCGTAACCGCTGTGCATTGAGTTGTAGGTTGGGTTGAACGCAAATTCTGAGCCCAACACCATTGGTGCAGCCATTTTCGCTCCAGCGGAGCGACATGTCTATAGAAGGCGGTGTGTCCATCTCTCGCGCTCCGGAGGAGCGCAATGTGTAGAGTGCATTAGTTTAATGGGTCAATGAATTTGAGTTAAAATAATCAATCCAAAGGAGTGTATTAATGACAGGTGGAGAACTTTTTGTCGAATGTTTGAAAGCACAAGGCGTTAAGGACATTTTTGGTATACCGGGCGGGCACTTAGATCCGGTTTATGAATCACTCTACAAAAATCGCAATACCATCCGTCACTATGTGGGCCGCCATGAGGGAGGTTGTGCGTTCATGGCGGATGGATATGCTCGCACGACGGGCGAAGTTGGTGTATGTATGACCGTGCCTGGACCCGGAGCAGCCAACGCTGCAATCGGAATCGGCGAAGCATACACAGCTTGTTCGCCAGTGCTGTTAGTCACCGGACAAAATCCCTCTCACCTCGCCAAAAGAGATCCGGGGAAAATGTTTCACGGCTTAGATCAGAAGGCTGCCTTTGCTCCAATGACAAAGCACATAGAGCTCGTTCATCGTGTTCAAGAAATCCCCGGTGCCGTCAATCGAGCCTTCGGTGCATTACGCTCAGGACGACCTCGACCGGTGTTAATCGAGCTTGCCACCGATGCGTTACATGCAGAGGTAGACACCTCCGACGCCCAAAGCATGTTTATTCCACCGCAGAATAACGGATTGCGACCGGGAGCAAGTCCCGACGAGATTAATGAGGCTATTGAACTAATCGAGAAAGCAGAGCGTCCGTTTATCTTCGCAGGCGGCGGGATTTGCCACACACGGGCGACAGCAGAGCTGCTTGAGTTTGCGAGATTACTCAATGCACCTGTCGCAACGAGTGCGAAGGGCAAAGGTGCGATTCCAGAGGATTCACCGTACTCACTGCGTGTTTTCAACAATCCCACCACACACGCGGGGTTGAAAGAATCTGATCTGCTGATTGCCATCGGCACACGCTTTACCTATCGTGACACAGGCAACTGGTCGCTGGAGATTAATCAACCGCTGCTGCACATTGACGCGGACCCCGCAGAGATTAATCGGGACTACCCCGCCGCCGTCGGAATCGGTGCGAATCCGAGGGTAGTCTTGCAGCAACTGAATGCTGAACTCAAGGAACGGACTCACGGTTGGGGTGAGCGATTGCGCGAATTGCACAGGCAGGCGGCTTATGCGGAACGTTCACCGATTATTGAACAACTCCGTGCGGCGATGCCCCTCGATTCCATTTTGAGCGTTGATGTCAATATCACCGGATATGCCGCCCTCCAAGACTTCACGGTTTACGGGCCCGGCATGTACATCTTCTCCGGGATTTCCGTTGCGATGGGAATTGGGTTGCCGGGCGCAATTGGTGCACAGGTTGCCCATCCAGATCGTAAAGTGGTTGCCCTTTGCGGCGATGGTGG